TGGAGCATTTTCACTGAAGTTATGAGAAAACCGTGTTTCATGGCGAGCATTGTGTTGCCATGGCAACAGCATTTGAAGAAATCTCAAAACTGTCCCGTAGATGTCTTCACGGCTGGACTGTTAGCACACATGTGAAGTTTGAGCGCTTTTTGAACAATTTCATATGAGTTAAAGCGACATCATGTTTTATGGCGAGGGATGCGTTTCCATGGAAACGGCATATGGTGAGATCTCAGATTTGGCGTAGAGCTGTTGAGGCATGGACCGGTGATATACAAGTGAAAATTGGGGGACGATAGGACCGTGTCGATTAGACTTACAGCGACATCGTGTTTCATGGCGAGTGGTCTGTCGCCATGGCAACGGCATTTGATGACACCCCATAATACGCTTAGATGTGTTGATGGCTGCATTGTTACCAAACCTGTGAAGTTTTGGGCCGTTTGGAGTATTTTCACTGAAGTTATGAGAAAACCGTGTTTCATGGCGAGCATTGTGTTGCCATGGCAACGGCATTTGAAGAAATCTCAAAACTGTCCCGTAGATGTCTTCACGGCTGGACTGTTTGAACATTTTCATAGGAGTTAATGTAAAGCAACATCGTCTTTTATGGCGAGGGATACGCATCCCTCGCCCTTCCATGGAAACGGCATATGATGACACCCCATCATTGACGTAGAGCTGTTGAGGGCAGGACCATTAACCTTTATCTGAAGTCTGCTGCTCTGAGCATGTCAGTTGGAGTTATGACAACATCGTGTTCCATGACACAGGTGTTTATATTTGAGCTAACGAGGTGTCCAGAGATCAAAGGCTTCCATTGTTCTGAATGAGAGATAAACCTCTTACATGTGAACGTTTTGTGGAAGAACCGTAACAGATATCTGTGAAATATCTGTATGTACTTTCGGGTCAATAATATGGCCTTTTTGGCAGTTTAACTAAAGGTGTGCGGCTGCTGCTGTGAGGAAATATCAGCCTGAAATTACAATGGGCTTTAATGGAGACATGTTGAACGTTTTTGTCACTTCATGCCCTCAAGAGGCATTTAGTTTAATTATTTTTGCTTGATTATTTGTCAAGCTACGAGATGTTTTCCTACGTTTGTCATGAAAAATTATGTGTCAGAAGTGTAGGGTTTGGGAATTATGGCAGTTTTAAAACAAAATATGAAGGCAAATTTCAAACTGTCTTCCACTCTAACTCTGACATCACGCACTCTGCCTTAACGAGCTGCGCAATGTTACAGTTAAAAGGTTAAACATTTGATTAATTATGGGCTATATCTCGGGAATTATGAAAGTTATGAATGAGAAAAGTAATAGCCATTGATTCCCGACCGAGCTGAACGTTTTGATGTTTGAACAGAGTTTCTGCGATGTGGAATGTGGGAGAAGAAGAGGGCCAAAATAACAGGCGGAATAATAAAGAATTGTGTGCGTAGAAGAACAGATAGTTGGAATGCTGTATCAGCATTCCCACAAAATGAGCGCCAGACGCACGCAGCTCTACTTCCGCCCCCCGCGTGCCATAGAGGAGTGATAGGCTTCATATTAATCGAAACAGGTGATTTGCAGGTGATTTATAAACATATTAGTCCTCTGTCCGTGAGAGTAAAAAGTCTGTCGGATTGGCGTTATTGTGTTTACGAAGGTGTTACATTTAGTGCAAACTCCGCCCATTCTGCACACACCAATGACGTTTTCACGCGCTCCCATTAGCGCAGCTGCAACCTACAGACCACGTATACTCAATCCAAACACATTCTGAGTGAATATCTTATTTTTGAGACGTGTATATCAGACAGAGGCAGAAATGTGTTTTATTTGACTTACCAGGAGACACAACACATCAGATTGTCTCTGAATGTTTGGGCATCATGGATGCAAAAAAGAGGAGAGGTGACATTTTTGAAAATGGAGAGTAGAGGGAGTTGAAATATATAATAAACTACAGGTGGATATCCTGCAGCAGCAAACAGGAGGATCACCTGCAGACTGAGGTAGTGCACGTTTCAATGCATGTGTCAATGTTTGTGTGAACAGATCAACGATCTGTGTGTAAATGTGTAATCTGAAAATGTAAAACAAATGCAAAAACAAATGGTCAAATCCAGAACTTTAGGCAACAATATTCAATATTATTTTAATTTAAAAAAAGCAGCAGTGGCACGTTACATCCATTGATGATTCTACGATATGTAAATGTGACAAAGCTAGTACATGTTGTGTTTTATTGGTATAATACACTATATTACGGAGCCCCCTAGGGGACATGGAGAAGAAAACAAATAATAATAATTTGAAAAAAATAAAATAAAAATGTTTTGCGAGTTCTCGCAATACTTTTCATTTAGTACTTCCTGGTCAGTTCGGCTGCTACGGCAACACAGAAACCACAACAATGGAGTGGTGCATCGATTTTACTTTGAGCTTGGCCTTAAATATAAAGATATAACATCAGTGCTTGGCAATAGGCACGGGTTTCACACATAGACTGTATATATAAAGGGTTTCACATAAGTGAAGACAGACACCTCAAGAGAACACTCAGAGCGAGGGGACATGCACGTTCCTCTGAGCTGAGTTATTGACAGATTCGAATTTCGCGGATCAATAACTCATGAACATAACGTTGTAAAAATACAAACAACATGACTTTACAATCATAGCAAGATAGACAACGAGCTACAGAGTCGTTTCTATCAGAACAGTTCGATCTTTTTCAAATAATGTTTTCTTTTCTTCTCCATGTCCCCTAGGGGGCTCCGTACTATATCATGTGCATTTCTGTTTGATTATTACTTCAGTTGGGATCATTTTAGCACAGGGACCATAATCGTATAGTGTCAGGTGTTTTATTTTAAATGTATTTTACAGATCTTCTTTTGCATTTGTGGATGGTGTTTTACGATAACACATTAACCCAGGGATTGCTCATCTGTTCACATCAATACAAAACAAATCTATCTCCATACAGAATCATCTGAATCTGAGCAGAACCATAACAATGTTTTTAAATAATAGAATGAATCATCAAACATTTTAATCTGTAAAGAGTGTTGCATTTAAAAAGTTCCTGACTGCAACATGTCAGCCCTTATCTAAATGTCAAAATAGAATAAAAGTGATGAGTTGATGAGGCATACAGTACGACTAGATTTAAATACAGTTGTGTCTGTTGGCCCACTGCTGAGGGGCTAATGATTCATGTTTAGGTGAGGAACGTTTCTTCTCTGAGAGACCTTTTTGAACGTTTCCATGAAGTCATGATTCAGTGTTCAGAGCCTGCAGATTGAACATGTTGACAGATTTCGTGCAGCCGTGGTGTTTGTTTGTTTCAGAAGAACATCTGAGACTCGGGGAAACATTGTGTGGGTGCACAAAGTCTCACTTCCTGTCAGGGGAATGGTTTTTTCAGCTTGTTGGCGTCAAAAGTTTGTGGTTTTATGTTGGAATTTTTCATGCAAAGATGGCAGAAACCGGTTTTCATGTCATACTAAAGGAATATCTTTAGCGTTTGGGAGGACAAGACATTTAGAGACACCATCTTCGACTTTGAGAATCTGGATGAATATTTCTCAATATTGTCTGTAGTTTTTTTCTCAAAGGCTCGAGTTCAAATCACAAAATTGCACAAAGAATATATTAAAATGTTGGCAAATGTTCCTCTTTTTTCGGTTGATGCTTCGTGTTTTGACCTGGATGATGGAAAAAGTGGACATATGGTTTGGGAATTTGCCCCTGAATAAGTCCTGAGGTGTAAAGAGCAACATGTCTCACCTGAGGTTTATGGGATGTGTGTTTCTGTGGAGCTGCTGTCAGAGGAGTTGAACCAGAAATAAAAAGGTGTGTGTTCCCGCTCTGAACTTCACGTTTCTGCCCCGGGGGTTTCATCGGTCCCGGCTGTTGATCTGGACATCATCAACATCATCCCATGGCATATTGTACAGTTGCCACGGTAACGGCAGTTTATTTAGCAGGGGGGCACTGTGGTCTCCAATATATCCGGGACGAAAAATCAAGAGAGATGAAGAGAAGGTTAGAGAGGAGAGGAGGAGAGAGACAGATCCACAGATTGCACAAATGAGAGGAAGTGTATTCTGCATATATTAATACAGATACAATATTGACATCACCTTGAAGTCATTATTCATTATCAGTCAAAAACTATATGTTCCTCTATTAGATTATAAATCCACAACAAAATCATCTTACTGCTAAGTGCTTTGACAGACTGTCACACAAGACGACCAGAAAATAAGAAAAACAAATACTAAGTCCATTCAGAAGAGTTTAGACAGTTTGTACAATTTAGACAAATTAATGAATGCATTCAAGAAATACTAACCGCACTTATAAATAAATAAACACATTATTCTGTATTATGGTGGCGATTATTATGACGCTTATAAATAAGAACTAAATAATAAATGAATTCAACCATTTAAAATAAAGTATTACAAAGTAAAAAAAAGTGTGTTTTCGGCTTTTATAATAAATATGTACATTTGTTTTTTGTAATGATGTGTATGTACTATCATACAGTACATACATACTCTGAATGTATGTATGTCAATAATAAGTGATTCAAAGTCCCACGCTCGTCCAACAGAGTAGACTGTCTTTAATACAGAATACAATCAGATACAATATAATGCATAGGTATTAATAAGTGAATAACAATGAGTGTTTGACTCTGAGCTCGACTCCCTGTGTGAGGGAGACTTCTGGGGAGACAGAGCTGCAGCTCAGGAGGAGAATCCACCTGTCTCTCTGCAGGAAGGGGACTCAGGATAAACACCCTCCTCCTCCTCCTCTTCCTCTTCCTCTTCCTCCTCCTCCTCCTCCTCCTCCTCCTCCTCCTCCTCCTCCTCCTCCTCCTCCTCCTCCTCCTCCTCCTCCTCCTCCTCCTCCTCCTCCCCGCCTCTCTGTTTCCTCGCGGCTCGCTGGGTGTCTGTCGCCTCTCAGATTGAGTTTCCTCGCGGCAGCAGTCGGGTTTCTCTCCGGGAGATCAGGTGTTTTAAACCTCCCTCCCTCGGTGTCTCCTCACTGCGCTTTCTCCCCGCCTCCCTCCCTCCACAGACGGACACTTTGAGAGGAAGTTCCCCCCCGCACGGTGCGCGGTGCGCCCGGAGCCCCGGAGACATGAGGCGGCGGTAGGGACACTTTACACCGGGGAGAGGAGCAGCACGGAGGGGAAACAGCGGAGAGACCGGGACCGCGGCCAAGGTAAGCGCTGGTACTTTAAAATACTGCAGAATAGCGTGTACTAATACTGCATGCACTTCTTAGAGACACTTTAAAGTGACTTACTGTTTGCAGAGATGCAGCTTTGTGTAGTTTTTCCTGCATCTTTGAAACAATCTGCATCATGTGAGATACACTTAAAATGCAATGGAAATATGTTGGTCCCACTTTTCAAGTAAACATCAATATCTTAGTTAGGGGTGGACAGTAAGTACATTTATTAAAGTATTCTTCCTAAGTACATGTTTGACAATTGACATTTCCTGCTACAGTAGCCTACATATTGACTCCTTGACTTTATTCTGAAAGCTTTTAGTTTGAAGATTCAAATAGAAAATACAGATAATAGTCAACAAATAATTGATTAATAAATAACTAACGTTTAAATGATATTCAAACAAAAATAAAACTACTTTTACCAGCTGCATACTGTACTACTTAGTGGCTCTGTTTAGTTTTTCCTGCACCTTTGAAGCATTCTGCATGGACAATAGGTTTCAACAAGGTGCCTTGTTTAGTTAAACTTCATTATTATTATAAGAGTTATTACCAGGGGTGGAAAGTAACTGAGTACTTTTACCTTTTCCATACATTTTGAACTGTAAGCTATCAGACATAAAGCCCACCTTTACCAGCGGCATGGTCTTCTAGAGACTTGGTGACTTACTGTTAGCAGAGAGGCAGCTCTGTGTCGTTTTTCCTGCAGCTTTGACACACCATGCCTCATGTTGGGTTAAAACAAGTTCTTTGCAATTAAACTATTTGTACATTTACTCAAGTACTGAACGTAAGGGCAATTTGAGGTATTTTTCCTGCTACTTTATACTCATAGTAAATGGACTGCATTTATAGCACTTTTCCACTCTTTACAAACATTTGTACTGTATTTCTAAAGCCATTATCCAGTCTTGACAACCCCTCAACGCTTTTTACAAATACAAGTCATGTGTCTAGTACTTTTACACCATCATATTTATTGACAGCTTTAGTTACATTGATTATTCAGACTCAAATAAATAATCCAGAGTATGAACAAATAATCAAACATATTATATAATATGTTAGGATACACTTTGTTGATAACTTGGATATATTTACAAGCTATGCCATGGTAGTATATACAGCAAGAAAAACCCACTTTTACCAGCTGCAACATTAAAGTGATGAACACATAATGTGATGTATTATATTCTGAAATGGGTCATTGTAAGAGCATGGTTACCTTTGTTGATTTTGGTACTTTTTGATGACAGCACTTTTACTTCAGGGAAATTGTGAATGCAGGATTTCTATTGCGACTAATGCTGCTGTATTTCTACATCATTATACATTTTTCACCACTGGTTATAAAGCAAGAACAGTTTTGTGTTGCCAGGTGCTTAAAACCCTCTCTGGCTCTACAGTGAAGTCATTAAGAAAGTCATTAGTAACGGCTAATGAGTCTCTAATATGGAGTGAAATGAAAGCTTTTTTTTCTATAGCAGGTGTTGAAGTTCTCCTGCTGTAACAGTCGAAATATAAATCTGTTAATTATTGGACAAAGATAAAAAAGACAGTGTAAGCTCTCATCTAATTTACATAGAAGGTTGAATTGTGAAAAGAAACATGCTGTAGTTTTTCTTGAATGACCTTTCGTGAAGGCTCCTTTTAACTTCCCCAGCATTGTCTCCGGTTCAAATCTTGATAACTCGTGAATAAAGTTTTTTTTTAAAATATTTAAGTAAAGTTGTAAATGGCTAAAGTTAGTTTGTTTGTGTTGCACATTTCAGACACAAAGGATATCAAAGTGCTCTTATAAGCAAGCAAATTAAACAGAAAACAAGAGAAATCATAAGAGAGTGAATATAGTTAATTCTTAACGTTGGAAGTATATTCTAGTGATTGTGAACTAATTGATCATAACCTCTCTCAGCCTTTTCCCATCATTTTCTGTCGATCATTTGGCTTAAGCAATCGTTGAATGATCAATGTGAGTGCTTGACTGATTCATTGATATTGAGTATTGTTAATTGCAGCCTCGTTCTGCAGCACTTTTGAGGTGACGTGATCTCTGGGTTCATTGATGAGCTGCAGTGCCACAGACTGCTGGAGGAGGATAAACACCAGCAGGGGGTTTCACAATCTGGCAACCCAATATGAGTTCTACTGAATGGCTGATCTATAAAGCACTTTATGGTTTAATAACCATAAAGACATATCTATCTACTCAAGGACTCACAGCACTGATTTCTGTTGTTTTTATAACGTAACATAATAAGGACAGTTAGCATCTGGTTAGCTCGGTTGCTAATGGGTCAATGAGTTCAGTCACTGCAAAAGACACATGTGTGCTATGTATTCCAGTTTTGACTCAAATCATTTCTCTTTTTTGTTGTTGCATCTAAAATTGCTGCTTGCTGTTGCTCAATGGTGCAGAAATGTTTGCACAGTTTGCACAGAACTTCATGTTAATTCAACGTTCTTTAAGGTCAAATGTCCGTATAATAGAATAGTTATACTGAATATCTTAAAGCTGGTATACATGTATAAAGCACTTTATGGTTTAATAACCATTCATATATGTATCTATATCCTAAAGGACTGGCAGTTTATTGGATATATATGTATGTTTGTTACATTCATTAACCATTGATTGATACAGTCATTCATTTGGTCTGTATGTTTACATCTTGTTATAGTTTCAAGCTCTTTTCTGTTTGACAGTGATGTGGCATGTTGTTTGGAATAAGGGCAAGTTTTTGGTAGAACAAATATTTGGTTCCACAAGTTTGTTGTTGCAGTAAAGACTCAGGTTGCGGTCGAATAGTCCAAAAATCAGCTCCTATCGTCTATTCCTTGACCTCTGAGTGAAACGTCACGGGGTTAAGGGATAGTGGATAGGAGAATTCAAAAGGACTTAGGAGAAGAGACTGCGATACTTTAGAGAATCCGAATGCACTTTCACTATCCGAGGTGTTTATGATGCGCCAGCGGACGTCATGAATGTGCGTCTGCTGCTGTGGGGTAACCATGGAAACTATAGTTTTCTATACAGCGGACTACAACATGGATGTTTAATAAGAACGAGGGACTCATCTAGAGACTCTGCACCGTGCTCTGATGCTGTTGCTTTGCTTTATGAACGTGGACAACAGAGAAACATATTCTTCAGGACCAAAGTTGGAATTAAATAAAAAAGGAAAGTGAAACTTATGCTCGTCACCAGGGACGTGCACAGACATTTGGAAGGGCTATTGCTCTAAACTGTAAAAAGGGCCGCCCCCCAAAAAAAATATAAGACCAAAACGATTATTACATTAACTGATTTGAACAGTAATTCACCATCATCTCATTACAAAATAAGTAGGCAACTACTTGCATTCGGGACTTGATTTTTAAAATGAAAACCAGGGACATTTTTAGTTTTGCGGTCCATATCTCATTAAACTATCTAATGTTAGAAACTATGGGGGAAATTCTGTTCTAATGTAGTTTGACCATTGTAACTGCTGTACAGACATACTGATACAATAGGGCTTCTTTAATTACCTTAAATAAACTCACTAATTAATTAAACCAGTTCAATACGCATTATTCTTATCATTCTTTATGAGCGCAGTAACGGTAAGGTATCTAACTAGTTATTTATTTAGTATTCCATAACTTAATAACAGAGATGCTCAAACTAAAGTGGAGACATGGCAGAAATCCTACAATGAAGCGGGACAGTGAAGTGTTCTCCTGAGAGAGGGCGGCCCCGTTGAGGGAGTTTACCATGGATGTTTAATAGGAGTTTACGGAGCAGATGGAAAGACACAGAAAGACAGAAGCACAATAACAAGTATATGTAGGTGTTTTTTTGTAAATAACCGACGGTGTCAAGAGGAAGTAAAGTCCCTCCCATGAGAAAACTCAAAGTCTATTTTCCAAAATCCGATACATTAGCCTATAATAAATATAATATATATAATACGTAACATGTGTAATCACACACTTAGCGATATAGAACATAAATAATAAAAACGTAGGCCTACCTGGTTTAAAACACTTTTGTGGTCATACTTTGGAATGAGTTAACACTGAAACGAGTTCTTCATTCAAAATTTAGGGGCAAATACATTTAAGAAGAAGGAGAAGAAGAAGTAAAAGAAGTAGCCTAGTAGAAGAAGAGTGAAGCTGGTGTGTTTCCCCATGGTTTTCCCGCAGCGATACACTACAATACTAAATGTGGGCTCATCATGTTGATTCGACCACAACAGAAAAAAAAAAAAAAACTCTCGCTCTCTCCAGAGGGGCAAGTCAGCCAAAAAGGAAAACGGGCCGTTGCCCGGGCAACATTAGCCCGTACCATAGACTGTATATATAAATGGACGTAGGGTCCGTGACGTCACCCATAGGATTCTGCAGAGTTGCCGTGAAGCCCTTAGTAGGCGGAGTCGGCCACTAACGGCTCGACGGTGTCGTCAGAGTCTAACTCCCGCCTTCTCCCGCCTTCTCCAAATAAGGGCAAAGAGGTGGAGCTGAGGCGGAGCCGAGGCGGGACAGGGCGGGACCTGCTGCCAACGAGCGTGACGTTCGAGTCCTTGCTCAGGCTAAGAAGCTAAGCTAACATGCTCTCAGTATCAATCGAATGTAAAACATGATTGATGAAAGTAGTAAATCGGTCAGATTTGACCCGAAGACAACAGGAGGGTTAATGCCATATTCACTTAGTAACGCATGAACAACTTTTACAAATAGTTCTATATAGTCTGTGTTGGTAAATGTCATCTAGGTTGCACATTTCCTGCTGAAATACATGCATACCAAGTCACTGCGTGGCACTTTGGTTTTGATAAAACAGTGTAGTTCCACTATATAAACGTTACATTCATAATCAAACGAGACAATCTGCAAGATAATTAGCTATTTGGTATTATTCTTAATGCTTGTCATTCACACGTTAATAAAATAAAATAAGTACCGATACATAGCAGAATAATTGTGGCGGTGTTCAGCTTAAT